TACAGTGAAGACGCGAGTAGGGCAGCGAAAGAAGATCCCACAAATCCCTATTCCATGCCAGTGCCCACCACCCTTGGTATTTAGCAGCTTCAAGCTTTTTAGGGGTTGTGCTTGGTAAACTAGCTCACTTCCTGTTGTTCTCTCTCCAGCAGGCCCATGTGTAGAAGCCCATGGTTATATATGCAACACTTATGTGAGCTACAAAGCCTAATTATAAAATATAGCTGTGAACACCCACCACTATCCTACCTCGAAGCTCAAAATCACAGCTGTAGGGCTGAATCTACATGTTTGTTTCTCCCAGTGTTAAGCGACTATCTCAACACCTGGAAGGAATCAGCTATGCAAATTTTGTGTATCATTGTTTTGCCATTTTGTCTTTTAATTTACATACATGTATGTACCTGTAAATAAGATATCGGTTAGTTTGGTTTGTCTTTATTGTGTATGTACATTTAGCAACTTGCCTTTATCATCTACACTCCATTTTTAATGTTTACTCATATGGATGTATGAATCTATAATTCATGTGCTGTTGCTGATCAATAACACTCATCAAAGACATTTAGCAAAAGCGTATTAGTAAAAGAGCTATATAGCTGTCCCTAAGTGTTCCCAAAAGGAAATCCTGGATTACAGAATATAGAATGTTCAGTTTTGCAAGAGAATACAATGCAAGATATTAGATGTATCAATTTATCCTTCTCACTAGCATCAGACAGGATGTCCACACTATCCACATCCTTTCAACACCTAGCTTTGTCAGGCATCTTAATTTTGGAGAACCTAATTATCTATAAAATGGCATCTCAATGTAGTCTTAGAATACTAAGGAAGCTGAATATCTTTTTAAGTTTAATAACCATTCCTGTTAATATTTCTGTGAAATGCCTATGTCTTTTGTCCATTTGTAGGAGCTCTTTATATATGCTGGAGAGTATAATCTTTTATAGGCCAAATATGTGGCAAATATTTTCCCGCTCTGTAGTTTGTCTGTTCACGGTTTTTATTGGTGCCTTTTGATAAAGGAAAGGTCTTAGTTTTAATCTGGTAAAACTGGTTATTTTTATTTTAGAGTTAACATTTTTTGTGTGAATTTAAATAAAAGCACCTTTCCATCAAGGTTATAAAGATAATCTCCCTACACTGCCTCCTAGGAACTTTCTTTACGTAATCTGAAACTGATTTTTCTGTATCTTGTACTAAGGATCCAACTGCATTCTTCTCCCAGCATTTAACAGCACTATGTACTGAACAATCCTTTGCCCAAGGATATGGAATTCCACCTCTGCCATACAGCAAATCCCGCAGGTATGTTTCTGGCAGCGCTTCTGTCCCACTGGCCAATTTGCGTTTCTCTGAGCCAGTCGTAATGTCCTGATACTGGCAGGGCATGTGCTCACTTCCTATTATCTTTAAAAATGCCCTAACAATATCAAAACTTTATCCTTTCAAACATTTTAGAACTGATTTGTCATATTTTGGAAAAAAACAAAAACAAAAAAACCCTTTGGGGGATTAGATTGAAGATACACCGAATCCACAGATTAACATGGAAGAACAGGCTATACCATATTGAGTTTTCCTAGGCAAGAATAACCTGTCTTTATTCATTCATCTTTAATAAATCAAGAGTTGTAGATGTTTCTCCACTAAAGATTTTACTTTTTGTTAATTCTCATTTGTATAAAAGATGATTCCATTCTTTGATATTGCTTGGTATTTCAAACAAAAAGAGACTTTACACAGGGAATTAGGAACTTTCAAAATAACTGAGAAGTTTAGAGTAGGAACAAAAAATTTAAGTGAGCCACCTCTGGCCAGTCAATTTTACTTCTGCAGTTGTAGGGAAAGGAAAGAGTCCAAAAACCACTCTTACCATCCATAAGTGAAAAAACTGCAGAAAAAGCTGCCGGTACCACAGTTGCTCTGCAACCCTGAGATAGCTAGACAGTGGTGGGGTGTGGAGGCCAAGACTAATACTCAGTTTGGTCTAAGCCCACTTACCCACACCAGTGTCTCCTACACCACTGTCTTCCTCCCACCTTCCAAATTTCTTTTTTTTTTCTTTTTAAGATTTATTTATTTTTATACAAGAACTGGGATACAGGTCAGAGGCGTGGGAGGGTGAGAGGATTCACCAGAGACAGAGCAGGGAGCAGAACAGGCAGACGGACGGAAACACGCTGCTGAGGGGAGTAGCAGACAAGATCTTCCAAATTTCTAGGAACGATCTTATGCACTGAACGATATCCAGAAGCCTGGGGCAGGATGTGTGAGTTCATAGCTCCAGCCTCTGAAATACAGGGAATGGTTCTGAATCCCGACTATACCTAGGACACCATCCATTTTCTACTTCCAAAAATGTCAAAATCACTGGTCTCCTGTTAATCTTGCCCCATTTTCTTTATCTCTGTGATTTCATATCTTTCATGCTCATTTACTGCAATGAAATAATCTCCTGCAGTCACCACAGAAGTTCTGAAGTCCATGTTCAAAAGCAACCCAGACCAAGCATGGCTAGGGTCTCCCATTTCTCCTCACATCTAGACATGTGTCCTTCCACATGTAAAGGGTGTTTTAACAGCTAACAACATCTGCAGCCCCTCCCTGCACACAAAGATTTTTCTTCTTCTTTTTTTGTGATGGGAGGACAGTTAATGAGAATTTGAACTATATCCATAATTAAAAAAAATTACTTTTAAAATGCACTAGAAACAAATATGAAAAAGTCTCACAGTTATTAATTCAGGGAATTGAGAAAAAATATATTTATATATTTTGATACTTAAATTTCTCAGCATTCCAGCTTTAAGAACAATCATCCATCAACCTGCATATCCCATGGCAACAAGGCAGGGCACTCTACCACAAGACAGGCATGATGCCAGGAGCCAAGGGGAAGCCATAAGGAGTCAGAGGTTCAATAGGGCCTGGCAGGCCTTGATGAGTTTGCGCTGCTGTCACCATTATGCCCTCCATGCTCAAAGCGTAGGGCACACCATCCATTCAGAACTCTGGGCTCCTAAAGAATAGATTTTATTTTTTGGTCTGGGAAGAAAAATACAGCAACCTAAATAACTTCAAGCCAACATGCAAGCCCTGAGAGGTACCCCATCTATGCTAAGCCATATGATCAGAAATCCAAATCTAGCCTAGTCCCTGCCTTCAGATAGATGAGCAGGATGAACCATGCAAGCGACTAGCATTGTTTTCAGTATTTACAACAGGATAATTATTACATAGAACCTTAAAAGCTAAGCCAAAAGGAACTCTGAGAATAGCAAGGAAGCAGGCTTCCATTTCACAACAAGCCCAGAACTGTCCAAAATATGCTCTAGGAGGTTGGCGCCAAGTCAGACCAGGGGAGTGGCCCCAGGTTGACCTACACAGAGCACCTACATTCCAAGCACTGAGAAGTTCAGTTTTTGGGCTGTAACCCAAGGAAGGACCAGGTTGGCCCCCACATTTAAAGTTGTCCCAGAGCTCCAGGAGACCCAACTTCCATCATTCAAACTCTCATTTGCAAAGGCAGAGACACATATGATGCAATGAAAGGACAGGCTCAAGGCACAATTAAGAGAGGTCCCCTCTAAACACCCACTCTGACAGCCAAATACAGTCTGACCAGACCACCCCTACTTCTTATTTAGAGCTCACTCAAAGATATGTTCCACAGTCAAATGTCACTTATTTCATGCCCTACCCAAGTCTCCTGGTTAGAACTGTTTTTTGGTTTTGTTTTTTGTTGTTTTTTTTTTTTTTTTTTTTTTTTGTAGCACCAGGCCTACAGGAATTACCACACTCCCCCTCCACTTTACTGAATGTTGAGGACCCCTGTCCTAGGTCAGGTCCCACAGAGGAAGAGGACAGGTTTTCTGCCCTTGGGTAGCTGAGAGTTCAGTCTGCAAGGAGAGATTACACACATGGGAACAAGTAATGCAAGAATTACCAGCAGTTCTAGATACTGGCAGACAGGGCAGAGCAGGTGCAGGCAGAAGCCAACCCCGTCTTAAGAGCCCAGAGACACCCTCTGTGGTATCTTCTAAACCAAGCCTTGAAGGATGGTCCATACTGAAATAGATCAAGGGGATGCCAGGGAAAGAGAAAGGTATAAAGGAAGCATGCACCTAGGAAATTTTTACTGGGGTGGGCACAGGAACCAGTCCACATGAGTCAAACCACTGAAAGGGAAACAGTGACAGGTAAGGCTGGCAAAGTAGAACCAAGCCATACTCTAAGGAAATTTGAATATCAGCCTAAGGAGTTTAGGTCTCTGATCCTCATGCTGCAGTAAGACACACCTTTATCTTAGGGGCTTTACACACACACACACACACACACACACACACACACACGTGCGCGCGCGCGCCTGCATATAAATGCAAGACACACCTACAACCCCAAACCAAGTTGAGAATATAGTCAATATTACCCACAGAGTATGCAAACTCCTGAGGGTACTGGGTCAGAAACCAGGTGGAGAACCAGTGATTTATTACATTTTCTGTGGCATCTGCATTGTCTCTAGCACATATCTTAAAGAGAAAACCCTGAGTGGAAGATTACTAGTGACTGGGTATGCAGGGAGGGCAGGCAGAGCAAAGGTCAATTTCAATGTCCCTTGTCAGGATCCCAGCCAAGGATCCCATGACCTCAAAAGGGCTACCTCCAGAGCCGGTCCAGGGGAAGAGCAGAGGCGAGAGGCATGATGGCACCACGCTTCAGGGGGGCTCACTGTGGGGGCCAGCAGGTCCCCAGATGTTGCATCTTAGGTGCCTCTCCTGCTTTACCATAGCCCTGATGCAAGTTCTGGGACCTACCTGTGCTGGGCATCTGTTTTTAAAAAGATGGAAAGAGGGAAGAGAGTGAGTTACAAATCAGCTTCCAGCACATAGATACAGATTACCAGTGGATACCATCTCCTTCTCATGGGAAAGTCACGCAGCTCTGAAAAAAAATGCCGGGACCATGTGTGTCCATCTGCCCGACACACTCACCTGGACAGTCGGCTTCATCGCTCTCATCCTCACAAGTCACCCAGCCGTCACACTGCCAGGGGAGGGGGATGCACTGGATGGCGCCACTGCGACAGGCAAACTGCCCAGGGTTGCACCGCAGCTCTGTGGAACCAAAGGGCAAGAGGCTGTTGAGGAAGCGGCAAAAGCAGCAGCAGAGACCTTGGGTGGCCAGGATTGACATCTCCCAGCCCCATGAGCGTGGGCTGAAAGCCAGGCAGCCTGCCCGCAGCCCGCCTCCTCACAGGCCTGTACACATGCCCCAAGAAGGACTTGCCAAGAGCTGTGTTATAAATGCTACACACCCCCAAGGCACTGATTTTTTTTTTAAAGGTTTTCTTTTTTTTTTTTAAGATTTATTTATCTATGCATACAAGAACTGGGGTACAGGCCAGAGGTGTGGTGGGTGAGAGGATTCACCAGAGACAGAGTGGGGAACAGAACAGGCAGACTGACTGAAATACACTGCTGAGGGGAGCAGTGGGCGAGTCAGGAGAGGTCTGTTACACAAGGCACTGATTTCTATGTGCACGCACACACCCCACACATTTCTGCCCTGGGCAGGACTCCGAACTGGACTGCAGATGAGACAGAAGGAACACACACACACACAAACATACACACTTAGTTTCTGACAAAAAGCAAAAAGAGGTGGCCACAACAGGTGCACTCAACCAAAATGCTAAAACACTCAGGTCAATAGTTTTAGAAGTTATATATAAGGTAAAGGGAAGAGCATTCTAGAAAAGCAGAGCCTAAGGAAATAACAAAGGAGAACACACCAAGTAGTCTGTGTGGAATTCCCCTGACACCGGATCACTGGATCAGAAACACAAGGGTCAGATTGTGGATGGAGGCTTTGAGAGTGTAACCAGTGGCTGAAGCCAGACTATTACAGGTGGTGCCCCTGGAGGGGAGTGCAGGTGAGGATAGACAGCCCCTGGGAAAAGGTGAACAAAGTATCTGTTGGGATGAACACTCTGAGAATACATATAAGGGACTGCAGAAACAGCACCCAGGATTCAGTGTTCGGGATTCAGCATTCAAGATTTCAGCGTTCATGTATCTTCAGGGATTCCGGGGTCAGCGATTTCTGCCCCCACCATGCCGATCTTCCAGAAAGCTGTTGTGGGCCTCTGAAGAATGTGGAGAGGTTTCCAGCAGCCAACCTCAGAGAGAAAAAGTTTGGAGGCTTTGCAAGGAGCTGAGCGACCGAAACTGTTTCTGGTTTTGTTGCTGTTACAGCCCAGCAGGGAAGGTGAAGACCCGAAAGTGGGCACCTCACTGGGCTACGTGAACAGTGTAGCTGTTTGTTGGGTCCTTTGCCTGCTGCAGTGCTGGGGCATCTCAGCAACTCTGTGAGAGTCTCCTGTTGTGTCTCCTGCCGTCTTTCTGAGTTGGATCCCAGCCTACGGTCTGGCTGCCACGTACTCCAGGCACTCAGTGGTGGGAAGACACCATCTTGGGAGTGTTTGTGTTCAGGACTTTAAACTAGGACTAAAACACTGGACATGGCTTTGGGTGAAGGAAATGGCCATTTTTGGCCTCGGTGACTCTTTGTGTTTGCCTGGTTTGTTAAATAAATCCCATTATTATTGTTCTTTGAACCTGAGTAGTCTTGCAATTGTGTACATTTGGGCACTATCCCTGGCCAGTTTTTGTGCTCCTTTGCTGCCCTGGATCGAGAGTAAGGTGGTTCTTAATAACAGGGAGCCAGTAAGTATCAAAATTTGTGTTTTAAGCAAGGTATAATTAGTGATGCTTTCTGAGAACAATTAGAATAGAAGGATCACACAAAAATATCATATAACTAAGCAAAATAAGGACTTAAAATGAGGCAGGGGTCAGCAAATTACAGCCCACAAACCAAATCCTGCCCTTCCCATTGGTTTTTTCCCAGTAAAGTTTTATTGGAATACAGCCACAAATATGCATTGTCTGTGGATGTTTTCAAGATACCACAACCCAGAGAAGGTTGCGAGAAAGAGTACAAAGTCTGCTAAAAATTGAAAATATTTACTCTCTGGGTCTCCTGGAAAAAGTCTGCAGACTCCTGAACTGAGATGACAGCTGATAAATACCTACACCTTGGAGCTAAAGAAAACACTGAAGTGTGAGGGATGGAGTCTTGTACACCGAGCTGATGACACAGGAAGGAAAACAGACGTGGTGCCGCTGTATCTGCTCCCTCAGTTGAATTCCTTCTCCTGGAATCATTATACTTAAATTCAGAAAGAAACAGGAACAATTCCTATACTTGAATCCTGTCCATTTGTGTCCCCAAGTAATTAGAGCCCATCATCACTCTAATTTATCAAGGAAGATGAATCTACCAAATCAGGCAGAGGTGGAAGCTGCGCCTGAGCTGTCCTCCAGTCACTACCCCATACCACCATGAGCCCCATGAGTGGAAGTATGTCACAGCATCAGCACATTCAGGAGAGCCTCTTCAGAGTGCTGTGTGTGCAGTAGGGTCAGACGCAAGCACAGCCTCAATTCCACATACCCTTCCCCAGGATCAGATATATATCCTCCACGGGAAAAGAAGCAATTCTGAATTCAGCACTACCTTGTCTCCACCTACTACCTCACACAGTGGTAAAGCAATACAATCTAAGATTAAAGGAAGTCTTTATAAAGTACCCAACATTCATGAAATATTCACTGTGTTGTATATTTTATAAAGGTTTTTGACCAAAATAGAGTTATAGGGACAAATTTAACTGTCCACCTAAAACAACCAGAAAAGGTATATATGTAAGAAAACCATGGTTTTCCAGACAATGAACATCAGACATGAAGGACAGCGAACCCAAGAGTTAGTTATGAAACATGAGAGGTGAGCCTCTTTGTCTCAGGAACATCTCCAGGCTGCAGACATGTACACCACTTTGTGAAGTTTATTTTTATAAGCTATATATATATAACTACATATTATTATATACAAAATATGTATTTTATATATAGTAATACTGTTTTGCATCTATAGCACATCTTCAAAATATGAAGGAAAAACTGCTACCACTAATACACAACTTGACATCATAGCCAAATTTCGATCCCCTCTCAAATGATAGAACAAGCAGACAGAAAAAATCAGCAGACATAGACAACTTGAGTAACACTAACAACTAACTGAATTTAACCAACATTTATAGACTTTTCTATCCCCAAACAGCAAAATACATACTTTTCAAATACACACATAACATTTACTATAATAAATAATAATATGAGCCACAAAGTAATTCTCCGTAAATTTACAATAAATTCTCAAAAAGTTTACATTAATTCAAATCATACAAAGTATGAAGTAAAAACCAACAGAAAGATACGAGGAAAATCCCCCAATTGCATGGGAACTGACACACGTCTACCTAAATAACTCATGGGTCAAAAAAAAAAGAAATGAAAAGGCAAATTATTGAAAGCATTTAAAATTAATAAAAACTTACGGAATTTAACTAAGGCAAATATATAGCACTAAGTTCCTATATCAGATAAGGTCTCAATAACCTCGGCTTAGAAAAGAAGGGCAAATTAAACCAAAGTAAGCAATAGAAAAGAAGTAATAAATACCAGAGTAGAAACTGGTAAAACAGGAAAATAATAAAAATGAAAGGTGGTGTTTCTGTTTTTTGGTTTGTTTTTTTTTTTAAAGTAGTAACAGTAAACCTTTAGCCAGACTAATTGGGAAAAAATAATATTAAAGAATACAAAATATCACTATCAGAAGAGGGATGTCATCACTATAGATGACAAAAAGAATTACTACAGATGACAAAGAGAGAATAATAAGCAAGTAATATAAACAAGTTTCTATCAATAAGTTTGACAAGTGAAATGGACACATTCCTTGAAAGGTACAAAATTCTCTCAAAAAGAATCCAGTAACTTGAAGAGTCCTATAGCTTATAAAGTTAAAAAATCTTTACACAAAGAAAATTCCAGGCCTAAATGACTTCACTGAAAGCTTACCAAATATTTAAGGAAGGAAAAAAATACAAATAATACACAAACTCTAGCTCAAATATTTAAAAATTACCATCATAAAAGCACCATAAAATAGCAAGTGCATTGGGAAAAATCTGAGGGCAAATGTGCAAGTCCTATGCCCTGAAAATTACAGAATATTGCTGAGAAAAAAATTTAAAGACCTAAACCTACTGGAAAATACAAAATATTCATGGATCAGTAAGCTCAGTATTAAGATACCAATTCTACCCAAATTCATGTACAGATTCAGTTACCGCTCCTCAGCCTTTTGGATAAGATCAAGTATAGATTCAATGTAATCCCAGTCGATATTTCAGCAGACCTTTTTACGGAAGTTAACAAACTAACTCTAGAATTCATATGGAAATGCAAGTACTTATAATACCCAAGGCAATTCTGAAAAGGATGAACAAAGTTGGAGGATTAACATACCTGACTTCAAGACTTACAGTAATCTTTAAGGCAGTGTGGCATGATGTCAAGACATTCTTTAGATCCATGGCACCAAATTAGAGTCCAAAAATAGGTCTACACATGTGGGCAACTAATTTATGACAAAGGTAAAGTCAATTCGCTAGAACAGTACTTCCACAGATGGAAACGCACCAACTAGACAGCCATTTATAAGAAAAGAACTTTGATACATTCCTTGTACTAAAAATTAAAGTACATCAGAGGGCCTCCCCGGTGGCACAGCGGTTGAGCACTGGGTTGCGAAGCTGCCCGTGGCCTCTGCGGCGCCGGTTCGATCCCCGGCTGCTCCCCGGCCACCGGAGGAGGGTCCCACATGGCGTGCAGACCTCTCCTGCTGCCCGCTGCTCCCCTCAGCAGTGTACTTTGGTCCTTCTGCCTGTTCTGCTCCCCGCTCTGGCTCTGGTGAATTCTCTCACTCTCCCCTGCATCTGACTGTACCCAGTGCATGTATAAACAAAAACAAACAAACAAACAAATAAATAAAAACATGCCTCTATTTAAAAAAAAAAAAAAAAAGACTAAAGTACATCAGAGACCTAAATGTAAAACCTAAAATTATATAACTTGTAGAAGAAAATCTTTGTGACCTTGAGTAGGGCAAAGATTTCATACATATAACTACACACACATATGTA